TATATTTTAATAGTTAAGTTTACAGAGTCTCTCAAGAGTCTTCCCCAGATACATGACCTTTAGATCTTGCTTCTCTTGATTGCCCCCCTCACCAAATGGTGCCATTTTATCTACTACTGAGATACTATTTGGTTAGTCATTGTCCCAGCTCTGATTCTGTAAGTGGTCTAAAAATATCGCTATTGCTGAGGGCGGGGGTGGGGGGTGCGGGTGGGGGTAGGGGGGATGGTTCTCAGGACATAATGAGTTACAATTGCCCTGATGAGGTAAACAATCTTCTAGGCTTTTACTATTCCTAAAATCTAAAGATTGGAACAATTAGCCTCCGCTTTCAGCATTCCTTAAATAATTAATAGATGTTAAAAACAAAGATTTTTATGTTTTGTCAAAGTAATTGCTTATATTTTCTGCTAAGTATGTTGGGCTTCTAAGAAACCTGGTCTAGGCTGGGCACAGTACTGCACAACTTTAATCCAAGCACTGGGGAGGTAGAGGCAGGTGGACCAAGGCCAGCCTGGTCTACATAGTGAGTTCCAAGACAGCCAGAAATACATAATGAGATCCTGTCTTGAAAAAACAAAAACAAAAAAACCCCAAAATTCAAGAAATCCGACTTAAGGTTTATTTTAAAATCGATATATATGAAGCTTTAATCCAAGTGCTATACAACAGCTGTATTTCAAAGCACAGTTTGTTGTTCAGTATTATAACTGACCTCCTGGGTGTTATAACCATACTTGAAGGTCAATACTGGTGTGGACAAGTGGTCAGAATATCAATATTTGGCCACTATCCCAGGTCAGCTGAGTTCCAGGGACTCTGGACACCCTCAAAAGGTCCTACAGCTGTGGTAAGTCACCTTTCTTCTTGGTCAGAGGAGTCTTGGTTGGAGTCTAACCAGTGTACATTCTGCAAAGACGAGAGTGAATACAGAAGGAAATGCCCTCAGTGCTTCTAAGTGATGTCACATGGTCATTAAAGACCATAGTATCCCAGCAGATGGCACAACTGATAAAATGCTAAAGGAGCCAGGATCTCTCCCAAGTCTCCAGTAATCAGAGGACTGTATCTAAAACTGGCCTTAACAACAGCAAAAAATGGTTAATTCTGACCACCTACCTACACAGTCTTAAACACCTAGTAAGAAAGCACAACCAAACTGAAAAATAACAAAACTCTAAACTTTAAAAGGTACAAGCAATGAGTCCTGCTTTACAGGTCTTTGCATGGGTTACTAACACACCAGAAAGAGTACTCAGAGTTTCACCAGTTGTTATCAGACTAAAAGTCCACCCAATGCCCTTCCTAATTGTAAACAAAATGCTGTTTGGATAGTCTTGATAATTTTCATTTCTCCTTTGCTTTACAAGATCTCAAAATCAGATTGAGACTGTTGGCAAATACCACCATCATTATTTTTGTTAGAATATACTGTACATATGTTTCTACTCTTGCTAAAGGTAGTATACTTATGCAGCTCATTTAACAATGTAATGTAAATTTCTAGTCCTTGAAAGTTTATTACAAACTAATTAGGACAATAAAGAAATGCAGGTTAGTAGTTAGTCACCTATAACAATCAAATGTGTAGTCATGTTAGGTATGTTTTCAAGGTCAAACATATTTTAGATAGACAGGTGGCCTTCAAACACTTCAGAGATCTACAGAAT